GTCGCAACAGGATTTAGAAAACTTGTCCAACCCTTTATCTTCAGTAGACTCGACTACTGCAATAGTGTATTCACAGGGCTCACTAAAAAAATCTATCAGAAAGCTGCAGCTGATTCAGAACGCTGCTGCTCGAGTTCTCACTGACACTAGAAAAGTGGATCACATCACTCCGGTTCTGAGATCATTACACTGGCTAAGTGTATTAATTATCTGCCAATTAATCTGCCAAATAATTTATTTTAAAATACTACTGCTAGTTTTTAAATCACTAAATGGCTTAGGACCGAGGTATATAGACGACCTACTCCATCACTATGAAGCATCCAGGAGTCTCAGGTCTTCTGGGTCGGGTCTGCTCTCTGTTCCGAGAATAACCACTAAACATGGAAAAGCAGCTTTTAGTTATTATGCCCCAACTATTTGGAACAAACTGCCTAAATCCTGCACGTCCACCGAAACAATTCCTATTTTGAAATCCTAAAAACGCATCCATTTCCGCTGCTTTTAATTGAGCTGCTCATACTCACACTACAGTATGCCTTTTAGTCATGTATTCTGTACCGGCTGTGTTTATTTATTTATTTAATTTCATTATCTTTGCTTTTTATGCCTGTTTTTAAATGCCATTTAATTATGTATTTACGCTGTATTTGTTCTTAAATGTATTTTTTTTTGTAAAGCACTTTGAAACGCCACGTGCTGAAAAGTGCTATATAAATAAAATTGCCTTACCTTGGTTTTTTTTTAATATTATTTGGGCAGTACATGATCTACAAAAGTTACATTAATAATACACATAACACACAATTCATAAATATATAAATAACATAAAGAGAGCACGTTTATATTCCAATGAGACTCAGTTCGGTCACAGACTCAAAATGCCCCATGGCTGAGTCTGGGATTTGTCCAGGGTTTTCCTTCTCCTTAGTTCAGTAAGTATTTATTTCACGATGGTGCCACTGTTTATGATCGTCTGATTTAGTATAATCTTGCACCTTGTTTTCATACATGTTATACAAATTACCAGCTGAAAAAGTTCCCTGTGTTTATTGTCCATCCCCTCATCCAGAATACAATACATGATTGAGACATATTTTACATTGAACTCTAAACCGATGCCCCGTAGGATTGACCACATCTCCTGGGCTCTGTAGCAGTCCATGAGGAGGTGCTGTAAAGTCTTGTCGTCCTCACAGTTAATCATGGGGAATGTTCTAGTTTTCACATAGCAGCTCCATGAAACCACAGCTCTGACCGCAAGTCTGTTGACTGATATCAGCCACCTCACGTCTCTCATGCTCTCCGATGTTTACTGTTTACTTTTAACTAATTTCAAGACTTCGTTACCTTCGTCAGGTGTTTGTATGTTATAACACCTCCATATTTGAAATCGTTTATCATTTTAAAAATTACTCTATTCGGTAGTCCGATCCAATCAATCCCTAAATGTTGAACTTTAGTTGTGAAGTCACCATAAACTAATTTGTAATATGGTCCATTTCTAGCTCTGCCTCTTCTTTTGTTCCATCCCATTTTTCCATCCTCAACTCAAGGTGCTTTCCTATTGATTGCAGCCGAGATGTTTTTTACAAAGGTAATTTTTAGTTTAATGCCCAGGTCTATGGCTCCCAGGCCTCCATATTCCCTACTTTTAAATAACAAATTACATTTAGTAACCTCCCTTGTTGAACCCCACACCAAATTGACACACTGTTTGTTTAATTGCATAATTATTTGGGCTGGTGGGGGGAAAATGTTTGCTAGAAAAAGGATCTTGCTGAGTATGAATGATTTTATTATGTTTATTCTTGATTTATAATTTGTATTTTTATTCTCCCATTGTTTAACTTGTTCTTTGACTTCACTTAGTTTGTTCTTGCCTTGCCTTATTATGCAGTAGGCCGCCCAATTCAGTTTGCACTTTGGTTTATTAGGGTTAAAAGTGTTGTAAGACATAATTAGTTAGACAATTATGAACAGTCCTGTCCCCATAAAACCTGCCACACAAATACTTTTATAACGCTGAAACCGGCACAGGGTTTTGAAAAAGTTAATTAACAAAAAAATAAAAATAACATAATTTCTTCTTATTCTTCAGGGGAAAATGATCAAGCAACATATATATCTCAAGATGTCCAGAAAGGTTTCTCGCTGGGTTGAAAGCTGTACCTTTTGGATTGCAGTTTTCTTACTTAAAGTTACTATACAGCATAGTCATTAGAGTTTTTTTACAAAATGTATCTGTTCGATTGCAAAATGGCTATTAGAAGTTCCTGTGGTCAGCAGTATGAAATCCTGATTACCACTAATACTGAGAAAATGAGACGGTCAAGGGTAACTGAAAATGAACAGATTGCATATACATTTTATCACATTACCAAAATGACACACACCTTAATACAGTACTACACACTACCAAACCATTATAACACTAGACAATCACTAGCATAGGCCATCACAATAGCAGTGTGCACGTCTCCCTGTCAAGGTCTGTTGCAGGCAGATCTTACAACAAACTCTACATTATAGAGATGTTAAGATTCACCGATTCGCATCGGTGCACCGGTATAAACGTTCAAGATGCGAGTGCACCGGTTGAAAGAGTGCACATCGGCTACAGTTTGGGTTGAACCGGGTTGAACTCGCGATGCATCGATTGCGTAGCCTCTTTGCATCGGTAAAAAAACAATTCATTCATATAAAATCCCCTCATCTTGTCAACGATCAGCAGAGACGATCTTTGATATTTGCTTCGCCACTACGGAGGCCGAGAGTCTCAGTTATCAACACACACGGAAGTTGAGGAGAAAGAGAAACACAGCGCACCGAAAAATACCTACAAATCAAACGTTTGGCAACACTTCGGATTGTTCAAGAAAGACGGTGTAATAGTCCTTTATGCTAGGCTATATAGTTGACCGCAGGTCATGGAGAGTAATAAGGTATCCGTAGACTTTTGTATGAGGTATCTTTATTACTTAACAGGTCTACAGCCATGATACATAGATCCGTCCTAGATGCGGGCTTGCATACACACAGTATCACTCCGCAGCCGCACCCCATCAGTAACGTCCTGATGGTATATGTGCGCGGCACTATATACTACAGACGGTCAACTTGAAAAATCACTCGCAAATTGTTAACGATGCCGAGCCGCTTTAAAGTACACAAGTAGTACGAGGAACTTAGCGACGCACATAAAGAGTCGACATGGGGTCTGCGGCTGAAAAGAGAAACCTCAAAGTTAGACATATGAGTTAAATCACTCAGTGAGGTGTTCTGCCAGAGAGAGTGGAGTTTAGTTTACAGCAGCCTGTGACGGCCAATAATAATTTAAATGTCTTCCTTACTGGAAGCAGTTATGAAATACCTGTTTGTGAAAGGTTATTTGTATTCTTTATTGTTCATATAGAACCCACTGCTTTCTGCTCACTGGTGAGTTAGCCTATGAATGAGTGTTAAGCACATCAGGCTGGCAGCTGTATGGACATTGCACTATGGTAGCTGTTATTTGCATATTGTTAATCATGAGCAATGCATCCTTACATTGTTTAACTGTGAGGTGTTATACAATTGTACTGTACTCTGGAGAGCTTTTAAAGGTAACAAAATAAACGGCATGATGGGATGTGCAGTACCAAATATGTAAAGCACTTTTTTGTTAATGTATGATTTGCTGCTGCGGAATAAAACAAAAATCCTCTGTCATACCATATTGAAGTATCATTATTTTTGCATCATGTTGAATCGCACCGAATCACATAATGTTGAATCAAATCGTATCGAACTGTATCGCAACAGGGGTGAATCGTATCGCATCGCCTGGTGTTTCAAATGTATCGTTAATGTATATCGTATCGTGGCAACGTATCGAGATGCGTATCGCATCGGCCTCAGTGATGGAGATGCACATCCCTACTACATTACCATTGTGGAACCAATGAAGCAAAACACGTATTACCATTAAATATGTGTTAGTGCACTGTCCATCAAGGCAGACACTGTATCAATGTGACTATCCATTATTGTTGTGGGTGGACTAAACTACGCAGACAGTATTGTGAGAACATGAAAAGTGAAGAGCATTATTATGATCAGTAGTAAACACAATCCGAGTTAGCAAGAAATGCCAGGAACGTAGACTTAAAAAATGACTTGCCTGTCACGTACGCACTGCTCGCCTCGTTGGTGAAAGTGTAAAGTTGTCACTGGCTGAAAAAGCCGAAGATTTGAATGAACTACAGTAACCTTCCGTCTGATGTGTGGTACGACATCTTTACGCAGGTCGACCAGCTGCCTGACATGACGTACAAACTGCTTGCAGTGCAATAGCGGCTTTTTAAATGAACCCCATGATATTCGCCTCTACTCGTGGCGCACTTTGTACTACTTCAGCTAACGGTACCCGGCTTAGTAGTGTTGTTCATTAGTCCCATGATAAATAAAGCACTATTAGGGTAACAGTTCTACGCACTAGTGCGACTATCTCTAAAATAAAGCTAAATAACTAGCTAGCGTGCCCCTCCAGTAAGGCACTGGTGGACTGAGGGGCTCCTCGTCTGACACATGTCATGACTGCGGCCGAAGAGTGTTGAAAACAGCAAATAGTACACATCTTTACAAGAGAAAATAAAACCTACCAGTCCGTCCAGTTTCTTCTATCAGACACGATAAATCAGTTATCGCTGGGTGACTAGAGTGTGTAGCTGACGTTAGTGTGCATTGTGCAACTCAGCAGAGCAGCACAAGGGCAGTGGGCTGCTAACAGCACGACTAGCATGCTAAGTTAACACACCACTACACCTAGAGGAGTATTTATATGAGGCGGATGTACTCGTCTAGTTGAATAGTATATTCTGTCAATAAGAGACACATTACTCACATTAATTAGTGTTATCTGTACATAGTTAACTGACCCGAGTAGTTTGCATTGCGCTATGCTAGTTAGCCGGCTAACGTTAGCAGTGTCAGTAACCGTAACGTTACTCTGGGCTTACCTGAAATTATTCACTTGGGAGTCGGTAGATTTTGTTTTACTTTTTCGCTGCTTCCTTGCCGTCAGGGGCGTAAAACAACTCGGTTAAGAAGCCCTTCTTATTTCGTTCGTTTCCTCAAACGCAATACATATGACTTGAGGTAATGCGATTTGCAGGAGCGCTATTGTTTGTCTGTTAAAGCCCCACATTTCCTCAAAGCCCATCCTGAAGGTGGCATGCCTCACATCCGGTCCGGCCCCTCATTCATTCTTAGACATGATTTAAACACATATATTTTCAAATAACGGAACCCTGGCCGCCCGAAAAAAACATCTTGATCCATTTATTAGTGAAAGTATAGGTAGGCCTACAGGTAAAAAAATAATGGCTATGTATTTTTGTCATAGGCCTTTTAGTGATTCCCAGTGACCACTATGCAGGGTTACCAATAAAGCAGGCTTTTGGTTGAAACATTTAGAAATGAATTAATATGTGTAATTATTATTTTGTAAGTATCCCTTTGTCTCAGAAAGACACAAATAATCGTCTGTATACAAAAAACGGACAACATAACTCAACAAGTTTCATAAAATGATCTAATTCATGATAAGCTAAATGTACAGAGCTTCTCTAGGTTACAAAGTAGAAATACAAACTTTAAACCGTACACATGTGTAAAACTTGTTGACAATCATATTCCTTTATTTAAGAATATTTGGATGCACCTGGTACAAAATGTGCTCAATTACAGCAGAGAAGGAAAAGTAAGATAAAAGAACCAAATAATAACCTTTCTTTTACGGTTTGTAGATTCAGTAGTAAACTTCACAAAAATGGCACGAACAAAATGTATTACTTTTGATTTGAATACCTATGCAAATATTAATGTTGTTGAACTACCAGCAAGCTACTGCAAGTTGTAGTTACACTTCTTAAATGACTCCCAAACACTGTACATTGGATCAAGCCTAATGTCAGTCACCCATAACCTGTGGCAGAGTTTGTTGTTATGGGAAACAAAAAAGGAAATGTATTGGGCCTTTATTGGGTTATTCTTCATTAATAAAAGAGTCATGTCGATGCATGTGTCATGGTGCACAAGGTATTCCCTTTTTGCTGACCTTTGGCTCGTAACCTTTCACAGCCAGTGACATGGGCTGCTTCTCAGGTCGACTATTTTCATTTCCTCGCTCCTCGCTCCTCGGTCTCACCGGAAGTTGATTTGCCTGCGCCATCTTGAGTACCGTCCCATGGCTCTTATTTCTGCCGGAGGACCGAGGGATCGAGGAGCGAGGAGCGATAATGGAGGAGCGATAATCGAGGAATCACCAGACCATCCTCCGATGAAATCCTCAGATACTCGCCCCGCCCCCTTACTGTGTATCGCTCACTGATTGGACGATGCAGTGCATGCACTGATCTGATGCTTCTTGACATGAGAGCCGTTTCCCAGCGGAGTGAAGAAAACACATGAACCTCACGAGAGTCACTCCTCAGTTTATACCGTGTTTTGTTTCAATTCCTGTTTCATTTAGTTACACATATGTGATATATCTGAACAACAAAGTGGTCAAAAATCATTTTATTCATTTGTTGGAAACATTTTCATGATCGCTTTTTTCGTTTTACATTTTCATTTATTGTCATTTCCATTCAGTCAGTCATTAAGTGCTATTTAAATGTTAATGTGCTACATATCCAAACAAACAAACAAACAAACAAAGTGTGCAATCCAATGAATGTTAATCTAACTGGGTTTTGATAGATAACAATAACATATCTCTTTTTCTTCTCTCAATTATTTTTATTTCTTTTGTGCACTCTAATCAATATTAATCAAACTATTGTTCGTTTATACATTTTAAGAATGGCGTTTATCTTTTTTGAGAATGAGTTCTTATTTTATTTTATTTATTGGGATCTACAACAGATGATACAAATGTTTGTGTCAGTAAATGTGTACTAACAGAGGCGAGGGTGTGTGTGGAAATAACGGGGACAGAGCTGGCTGCTGTCAGACGATCAGCTGTGCAGCGTCATCACAAACGGACGTCGCTTCACGTGACGCTCCGGAGGAAAGGACGTCCCATTGCTCTTAAAACTAATTTCCCTGCTTCTCGTGGTTTCCTTGCGTCCCTCCATGCTTCCCTGGTGGGAGGGACTAAACGCAGGGAAACGACGCAAGTGAGGGAAGCAAGGATTTCATTTAATCGACCTGAGAAGCAGCCATGTAATTAAAGTAATTTCCCTCCCTGTGTGTGAGTGCATGGTGGGTCAACTTTAGACCTCTTTAGCCCTCTGCTGGTGTGTTTGCATAGCTGCAGCACGAGTTGGAAGTGGGACAAGCTGAGGGATCAGAAACTTGCACACATAAGCCGGAGGCCTTTAGTGTGACAAATCTGGCATGTCTGTTGGTAACATATGGCATCATATCTTGCTGAATTATAATGTAATGTGAACCAGTCACTATAACAAATCATCCCTGCTCTTTCACAACCAGTTTCTCAGCCAGGTTATTCTTGCTTACTGCATCCAGTTTGCCATCAGGCAGACATATTGGCCTGTCTGGTTATTTGGGTTAATCCCTTGCTATTCATACTGTGGATTAGTGCTGGCAAAATGGAGCCGTCACCTGGGTTCAATCACACTGTAGTATATAAGCACTTGGAAGCTGACTTGTTTTCCTTCCTTATACGTTTTTGCTTCATTTCCTTATTTCTTCCATATAAAAAAGCATCTAGTGAGATTTGTAATACATGAATATGAAATCCACTCAAATAAGCTTTATTTAGAATGCCTTTTTGAATCAACCTTTTTCGTTTTTTCTGAAGTACAATTTTGTACTTGTACTTCTGCGGTCTAAAGCATTTTACAAACAGCATGTCTAGTTTATTTTTTGTGCCAGGCAAATGTGTTTTTCAATTTTATCCCATCTTGTTATCATTTATTTTTTACTTGACAGTAAATGGACCAACCTCAAGTGAACACTTTGGCTTTATTTTGCTCTTTTGCCCACAGTTACATTGATAGACCTAAAAGAAAAAGTTTCAGTAAAAACAGTTAACATCACATCATTAAGACTCATCTTGCAACCTATTTATAAAAGATAAGCCAATACAAATCAAATCAAAACACAGTTTCAGTAAAATATGAATCATTTATTATTTATCTTCTTGTATTGCTGTCTTTCAGAGCAGCAGCTCAATGCTTGGCAATATTATGTGTGAGGATCCACTATTACATTAGTACACAAAAACATTCATAACCATAGTTGTTATTCTAAACCCTGTTAAGGCAATTTTTACAGCATGGTCTTTCATACCAACTTTTTAAGTGAGATATGACAACAGTCAAAAATTAATAAGATGATCATTCGTAAATATATTAAAGATTATCTGTGCAAATACCTCAATTTGAGATGCTTAAGACATGGATCTAACATGTATTACATCTGCTAGTTCAAGACATCAATGCATAATTAAAAAAGGAGGTGAAAAACATTTTCAGAATATTCAGTAAATCAACTATTTTCATGATTATCGTTAAACTACATTTGAAATAAAACTAATTGGTAAATAAACTGTATAGACCACACATTGATTGCATAAGATGATTTGAAATTTTGTTGGACTCACAATTAACATTTCAACACTTATAATGCATTAGATCTGCATGTATTAGTGGATAACACTTAGCTTAAGTGCATAATAAAACACACAAAGGCATTATAAGCACACTGCATGCATTGATTCATACATGTTTTATTATAAACATTCAGAAAACTCCCTATGCACTTAAAATCTCTGTGAATCCGACATCATTGAGAAATTATTACTTTTCACCGGAAGCTGTTTACTTTTGCATCATGTGCTGCTTCTGGCTTAAACAGTAATGTTTTAAATATATCGTAAATAGTTTATGGATGTGCTTATAATGCCTTGTGAGCAACACCAGTACAAGTGACTAGTCCTTACTTTTGATCCATACAAGTAAAAGGCATAGTCAAGCATCTTACAGCTTAATTCAGATGAGTTATTTTATAGATAAAGAATTTAAAAGAATAGATCATTTTCACCATTTTGGTGATGATTCAAGTACACTAACACTATCTTTAAACCTAAACATCATTGGCTAATGTCGTCATTTGTTTTGAATGGCAGATGATGTCGACACAGGCCATAGGACGGATGTATATGGCAGTGATTCTACTGTGTTTGTGAGCAGAACAGCATATCCTGCTGAACCCACTCGTGAATACATATTGTACTCCCTCAGAGATTCTGTAAGGCAGAGACACGAACCAGTTTTTGATGTGAAATTCCTACATGTGTTTGGAGGACGGCCCAGATTTGAAGCCGGTTGTTAACCAGCTAAATTTGATTTTTTTACGACAACGTTACGGTATTCAGTGTGAATACTTTTGTAAAACCTTAGCTTCCACAACAATGGCAGGATTCTCAATGTCGGCTTTGCTCTGAACCATCCTCAGCTCCAGTTGTGCCGGACTGGGCCTTTTCCCGGGGCCAGCCAACTCTGGAATAGAGAACAGCAGATGAAAAGAAAGCACAAGGTTTTTATTGACTGGCTTACTGTTCAATCTCGTAGTCACAGAGTCTTGTCTCAGTGAATGCTTTACATACAGTTACAAGAGCAACAAACAATTATGACAACGTTGTATGCCTCCTTCTACATGATATTTACTTTAACTCGAAACCCAACAATATCAAAAGCAAATCTTTGAGATGGCAAACGATGTGAAGTAATTTGATAAACTGTGTCTACAACACATTTTCTTTGAGAAAATGCTGGTGGCGTCTACATAGTGCACACTACTGGATGAAATATTACTATTGATTGTGTAAATATAGTACTAACAGCAGAAGGGAGCAAATAAGTGTCCTTTAGGTTCAGTATATGACTAAACATAAAGAAAAAATAAAGTCAAAACACACATCAATCCTACCGTTAGCAAAGGTTATGGTCCTCTTTATGACATGGTGCATGACCGAAACAGTCTTTTCACAGGCAGCCTGTGAATAACAGAAAGAACATTTGTGTCAGTTTATTAAGGAATGTAGCAACATAATTAGCCTAGATAGATTGAAAAGTCTAATGTGCCACTGACCTTCAGGTCTTTGGGGTGGTGGTGAGTCCAGGCCAGCAACAAGGCAGCAAACAGGTCTCCTGTCCCCACAAATACAGCATCCACTTTGGGAATGTCCATGCAGATTATCTGAC